GCAGCCCTGTTTGAATGCACTGTCAGCAGTGAGTGAATGCTCTCTGTGATTGATTGGTTCTGTCTTGCAACATTTGCGTGTTCAGATGAGCAGGAAAATAGTTCTATCCTACACAATTACTCGCTAACAAAGGTTATTCGTCCAATTCAATGCATATTGTACGAATGTTTTTTTTTGTTAAATTAACAAAATCACTGGTAAATAAAACACACCTTAGTATCGATATTTTTTGTTTGAGTATCGATACTTTCGATACTCGCGTCAGTATCGATATATCAATACTTTGGATCGATACGCCCATCCCTAACCGCCGGCTGTCGAGGACGCGCTCAGGACAGTTCAGACATTGCAGTGCATCAGAGATGAAAAAAAACTATATAAATACTGTTCAGTTTCTTGCACAGACCGATCGTTTCGTGTCTTTACACATCAATGTATCGTCACGAGCCGCAGGGCTTAATTTGGTTTTGTTTGTGTATGTTTTTTTGACTCTCAAAGCTGTGATTAATATTCACTTCCATTATAAGACTGACAGACTGCAACGGTTTGAGTTAAAAATCTTTGTTTGTGTTCTGCTGAAGAAACAAAGTCACAAATTTAACAAATTTTAATTTTTGGGTGAACTATCCCTTTAACTCGACGCCGGCATTGAACTTGCCTTTCCTTCCTGCAGTTACAGGCGCTGTTCAAGTTACAATGACAGCTGTTTAAGTGCATACAAATATGACACATTATATGACATAAAAGGTGGCAGAAGCGAAAGGTTAAATGTTTGGAAATGTGTCTTGGCAGAGCACCACTCAAAACAATAGGATACGTTTCAGTCTAGTCACTTTTTACTTTTAAATTTTCACTGCTGTTCTAAAAATATTTCGTTGATTGCTGTCGTAAAATTCGCAAAAAGCACTGGAACACACACTTTGACCGGTATAACAAATATTATTTTTAAATTTTCATTAACTTCGGTAGGCTGTGCAGGAGTTGTAATTGTCAGAAAGCTGAATTCTAGTGATGCGTCTATTTTGGTGAGAGACCTGGCAAACCACATGATTTCTGTCAAAGAGCCAGGTGTGGCTCGAGAGCTATGGGTTCCAGACCGCTGTGTTATACGAACAATATACAGGTGCATCTCAATAAATTAGAATGTCGTGGAAAAGTTCATTTATTTCAGTAATTCAACTCAAATTGTGAAACTCGTGTATTAAATAAATTCAATGCACACAGACTGAAGTAGTTTAAGTCTTTGGTTCTTTTAATTGTGATGATTTTGGGAACTCCTGTTAGATTTTTGTGTGTTACATAGAGAATTGTGTGTTGTGTTTTGCAAAAAAAGTGTTTTATGAAATTCAAAACATAGTCAAAGGCCGATAATTAGCATATGGTTTTGTAGATTTGGTGTGTGGTTCTGGTGTTTGAGTGTCAGGTTTCTGAAACTGTGTGACAAGTAAAGATTTTGTGTGTAGGCAGTAAAAAAAAACTGTAATAAACCATATAATTCAGTCACTTTGCAAGAGCACGAATGAAGCGAGAAAAACAGCGTGTGTTGCTTTAAGAGAGAGGTGGGCGTGGCTTCGGGCGCAGTGACCTCAGCGAGGTAGAGTTTCTGTTCAGTTGCGTTACTATAACACCTGTAGGCGCTCAGTAGGGAGCTATCGATTACGTGAGTTTGCGGAACCACTTTTGAGGCACTTTAATAACCAAAATTACTTCAAACTGTGCTTGGAACTGAACCGAAGAGAGCAGCGGCAGTGCTGGTGTGCCGAACATGGGGCTTCTTGCGAGTCGGGATGTGTTTTCGTGGCTGCTGATGGCCTCTGTTTTCCAGGTGTCGAGTGTGCGTTTGGCGCAGGGCACTTACCTGTGCACTGCATACCTGAATATTTCCTACACAATCCCTGAAACAAACCTAACCACCTGGTTGCGAGAGGAGATGGGGCTGTATGGGCAAGACTCACCCAAAACTTCTGTAGTGGGGAACGTGTATTTAGCCGATCCGATCTATGGCTGTGAAGATGACACCGTTTATCGGCGACCGAACGACTCCAGGAGCTGGATCGCCTTAATCCAGCGCGGTAACGGATGCACTTTCGCCGATAAAATTAACGTCGCGGCCATGAACGGAGCTGCAGCTGCTATCATTTTCAACGATTTTGGGGCAGATTATCGGGTCATTCAGATGTCCCATCCAGGTAGGTGACCCAACGGGCGACAGATGAGGTGCTGGACATTTTAGTATGCGTGTGTTTATATACAAGTGTTGTCTTGTCACTCGTTATTCTCATCAATTTTGGCCTCTATTAGTTGCCAGTTGTACTCTAACCCGGGTTGTGTTGTGTAAGTTGTGTAAACTTGACGGTTGCTAGGACCTCCTCTACGCGGAAGAGCGCAAACTCTGCTCTCGCCTGTCAGGATATTAAAAGAACTGGACTAGAATCGCATTTTAGAGCTGGTGCGATCTGGTTTTGAACGCACAGCCCCACTTACTGAGCCTTAGAAGGAGAAGTTCGCTGAGCAATGACAATTTCCTGAAGACTTTTCAGATGACCTTGTAAATAAACGTGTTTTATCACGTTGTGTCATGTCATAAAACGAAAGGTTGTGTGTGTACGTAGACGAGTAGCATTGATATATGATCATAGTTTTGGTCAATATTTTGTATTTATTTGTATTTTCAGTTTTCTTTGTAATTTTAGTCATTTTGTCGTGTTTTTGTCTTTTTTTTGTTTTAAATAGTCAATTTTTTTTTTTTAATTTAGTCCTTGTTACAGTGTTAAAGGGGTCATATGATGCGATTTCCAAAGATTTTTTAAACTTTCTCTTCATTAAGAAGCTCAAAAAAATCATCACGGTTTCCTCAAAAATATTAAGCAGCAAAACTGTCTTCAACATTTATAATAATAAAAAATGTCTCTTGAGCACCAAATCAGCATATTAGAATGATTCCTTAAGGATCGTCTGACACTGAAGCCTGGAGTAATGATGCTGAAAAATCAGCTTTGCCATCACAGGAATAAATTACGTTTTAAAATATATTAAAATGGACAGCAGTTATTACAAATTGTAATAATATTTCACAGTATTACTGTTGTTGTATTGTATTTTTGATCAAATAAATACAGCCTTGGTGAACATAAGAGACTTCTTTTAAAAACATAAAAAAATCTTACTGACCCCAAACAAACGGTAGTTACTGTTTCTTAGGTTTTGTTCTAGTATATAAGGTTTTGGATTTGAAAGTGTGGTAACCAAAGGGTGACAACCACATTTGAATGTATAGTGAATCACTTCAAATACAATATGAAGTAAACATAGCTTCAACAATTTTATTGTAGTTACAGCATTTTCCTTTATAGGGGGATGTGAAATGGTCTCACAATTGGCATGGCTGATGAGAAAAATCAGGCAGGTCTATAGAATGTGGTGTATAAAGCGATTGTATAAACAGGAGTGTTACTAAAAATATGAATGAAAAAACCCAAGTACTGACAGTGTGAACAAGTGGAGATTTTACAAAACCTTGTTTACCACAAAAGCATAGTCTGACACTCCATGCATGCTTGTTCATTTTTCCAGTATATCTAGCTTCTAACTGGTTGATCTGGTTTCACATTACTGGGTTCTGAGATAAAAAACCCAAGTACTGACAGTGTGAACAAGTGGAGATTTTACAAAACCTTGCTTACCACAAAAGCATAGTCTGACACTCCATGCATGCTTGTTCATTTTTCCAGTATATCTAGCTTCTAACTGGTTGATCTGGTTTCACATTACTGGGTTCTGAGATCATTCTTTTTTTCAGCCCTACTGTCATCACTGTATGTGTATGAATTTGGTTCTAAGGTGGTATTAGGCCTAAATTTAGTATCAAGGAAATGTTTGATTTTGGGTAAAGTTTAACTAAAATCACAACCTGTTTCTCTTTACGTTGTCAGAGATTATCCCACACACAGAGAAAGACTGGATTTTTTTTTTTCAGTTGCAACTGATGAAATTATACTGGATATGTTTCTGAAAATCCTGTTTCTCAAAGGAAAGTACCGGAATATTTAATCATACGAAAGCCAAAAGAAATTAGTGTGCTCAAAAAGTACCCGTTTCAGTGGTTTGTTATTTTGCTCAAAGGAAAAAGGGAAGAAAAGAATAAAAGGAAGCTAAGTGGCTAAGTAAAAGGCCTTTCAGACCAGTTGAGCTTTACTACTCACAATTTCAGTCATTGCCTGGTAAATGCATGGTTTTGCTTTGTACCATCAGGAAAATCAGACCTTCGTTTCTGAGTATGCTGCGCAGCTTCTCATCTGAGCTCTTGTCATTGCAATACTGCTGTAACGCTCCATTGGCCGGGCTTCCAGCTAACACCCTAATGTTGCCTATACACAACATGCCTTTCAAAGTTGTTGGATTTACATTTTGTTCCACACTATACAACTGTCTGTCATCACCAATGTCATTTCCAGTCAAAACATATTTCACACTACAAAACTTGGATTGCAGACAGGTCTAGAAATTGTATTTAGAAATTGCTAAATATCTTTCAGGCATCTGTGACACATTGGTGCTTTTTTTTATTTCTTTTTTTTGCCTTTATTATGATAGGACAGTGAGTAGAGCGGAAGCGAAGGGGAGAGACAGTGGGATGAGATCAGAAAAGGTCTCAAACTCGGGATGTCCCGAAGCGCAACAGCACTATGTATGTCAGCACACTGCCCATGAGGGTGTCGGCGCCAACACAAAAGATCCTTGATCATTGAGACATTCAAATGTAGCGATCATCACTAACGTAAATGAGCACCGTGTTGTTGCTTCTTTTTTTTAATCGACTTTTGTCTGCAATCATTAACTGCCGCAGAGCTGCTAAAATTGTACAGAATGTGGGCAGCACAAGCCTCTGATGGTGTTCTTCAACAAAGCGGTCAACCACAGAGGATCCATGTCACATTCCTCTTTGTGTCGCTCCAGAGGCTTTGATGTTGGCCATCAGGACTGCCATTGGAAGTGAACACTATAAGTGTATGCTCCCTCCCACCATTTACAGCTAGCAAATATGACAGTTGTGCTTCCTTCACAATGAGGTACAAAGTCATTTTCTAGAACCTTCACCCTCTTTGTTCATCTCCGGACTGCCTACCTTCCCTGATCTGCTGAGACTTTTACAAGTTTTAAAGGGGTCATATAATGCTACATGCACTTTCACAAGTTGTTTGAACTGAAATGTGTGTGTGTTTTTTACACTACCATTGAGAAATTTTAACCAAACTATGTTACAGACTTTCATTAAGACCCTAAAGTATCATATCAACTTGTGGAAAAAGGGCATCCTATGACCCCTTTAAGAAACAGCTGAAGACATGCCTCTTCTGCGAACGCCTAACTAATTTACAGTCGTGAAGGTAATTCCTGTGATAACAGAAAGTTAAATCATTGTTTTTCTTTTCTGCATTATACTTCCGCTCCAGTTTGTGTACTAACCATTGTATACTTTAAACTGCAAATATTGATAATTATGATAAACTGCTTACAATGTCGCTTATTCCTACATCCGCTAAATACATAGATTTAAGTTAGTGAAAATGAGTTGTAGATGTATAAATGTATTTAGTAAAAATCTAATTCTTCAGTTAGAGGTTTGTGTGAGGAATAAAAATGACTACCTCCTTTAAACGTACTTAGCATTGACAGTGTCACAACAAAAGAATTTTGTGATTCATATTCATGGGATTTCATATTCACTGTGTGACTCATACTGTATGTTTTCAGATAACAGTGATTGAATGGAAAAGAGCTCCAAAAAATACCGTTTTAAAAGCCTGTAAGGTCTGCAAAGAAGGTGGACGGTCGAGTTTTAGATTTAGGCCTACTTTTTGCTGGTGAACAGTCAACACAACTCTTCAACATGTTGACAGACAAAACAAATAGCTTCTGAGACCGTTTATTAGAGTGAGTTTGGCATTGTGTCTCATTTGTTTGATGTTTAGTATGGGCATTAGTATGATGTTTGTTTCCTCACTAGGACATTCGTGTGGTCTTGCATGAATGCATGTATACTGTTTAGTATAACTGGTCTATAGACCTTAGTCAGAATAGTGCCATATTACATTTTTTGAAAGGAGTGAAAACAAGGCTATGAGAGATAGAAGTACAGTGTGTTCAATAGATTGTACTGTTGTTGAACAATATACCACTTGTTCAGCTGACGAAATATCTTTCTGAAAACTTTCAGTAGACAACCTCCATAAAAGAGTTTTGAAGGTTCAGAGTTGTGAAAATGACCTGATCTATGACATTTATACAGTGTGTGCGCCATTGTGTGTAAATTTTCTTCCAAGTTAAATTCAATATGGCATCTAACCTGGCTAAGGTCTGTAGTGTGTATATAGATTTGTTATTGTTCTATGTTTTGTTATATCAATTATATATATTAATTTCAAATATTAAATAAAAATTAAGTTGCACTAAAATGCTCTATAGAGCCATTCACACAGAACTTGTTTTTGCTTTTAAAAAACGCAGGCAGGGGAATGAGGGGAAAAATACAACACTTTTTATTTTTTAGGTTAACTTCTTTTAACTGGAGTGCTTGGAACACCGTGTCGTGCGAGGTGCATAAAAAGCAAGATGCAAGCACAATGGTCAAAGATGTCCCTTTAGCATGTGTTTACATAGAAAAGTAACACAGAGAATTCCAGCTTTGTTTATTAAGTCCTGTAGATTTAAATTTAGACATTTTTTTTGAAAATCCAGATGCGTTCAAGTTTTGACTGCAGGGTGAATTTCTGATTTTACTGTTCATTTCTATTTATTTATTCCATATTCATTTCTTAATGGGATTAAGGGATGTCTATGTCTGTTATATAAACCTTTTCCATTCTTTGCTAAAGGTTTTGTGCGGTCAAATACAACAATGTCTAATTTAAACTCTGTATCTGCTGCCCTGTGTTAATTTACACAATCCTTTTTTTTGTTTTGGAATTTCAGAAGTGAGAGAGGAAAGTCTCGCCCCTGTTTCATAAGCATTCATAAAGTGGTTCATTATGAAATCTAACCAGCAATCAGGTTCCTTTTCTTGTCTGAACCGTGAAAGTGTTGAATCTGGATTAAGCTCTTTTGTATGTGTGAATGTTGTTTAGCTAGTGCTTCTTTTTGTTTTTGGTTATCTAATGCATTGACATTCATACATTTTTAAGTGTGTCTCAAGTGTCTGCATTCTTAATGCAGCCACTATATGTGCGAATCAACTGAGTGAACGAGTCAGCAATAGGTCTGTCACTGTGGGATAAGTTTATTTTTTGTAAAAGGTAAATGTAGATGTCCCTTTATATTTACTTAATAATCCTGATCTTAAATGTTCTTTGTTCTAGGTGTTTATACAGAAGAGCAAACACATCTGAATATACTTTCTGTTGATACTCGTGTTGCAGTTCTACAATATTCTTACACTTCTTGAAAAACCAGTGAGACCAGACCAAAAACACCAAGACACGCACACATCCTGAGCTCTGTTTGTCTGTTCTCTTTTTTTCAGAAAAAGCTGAAAGCTGAAGCAAAGAAAGCTATTGGCCAGCTGCAGGTCCGCACACTGAGACAAGGGGATCAGGTACATCACAACATTTTGTTTGTGCACATGCAAATATAGACATTTGTTTGTGCACATGTAAAAATGAGCTTCTATTTATATTTATGTATTTTTTTTTTTATTGGATTTGTTTTTTCTGTGTGTTTTTACATACACTGCCATTCAAAAGGTTGGGATCAGTAAGACTTGTAATGTTTTTTTAAAGAAGTCTCTTATGCTCATCAAGGCTGCATTTATTGGATCAAAAATACAGAAAAAAAACCATAATCTTGCTAAATGTTATTACAATATAAAATAATGGTTTCTATTTTAATATACTTTAAAATATAATTTATTTCTGTGATGCAAAGCTAAATTTTCATTACCCATTACTCCAGTCTAAAGTGTCACATGATCCTTCAGAAATCATTCTAATATGCTGATTTATTATTAGAATTATCAATGTTGGCAACAGTCGCGCTGCCAAATATTTCTTTGGAAACTGCAATACTTTTTTCAGGATTCTTTGATGAATAAAAAGTTAAAAAGAACAGCATTTATTCAAAATATAAATCTTTTCTAACAATATAAATCTTTGCTATCACTTCTTATCAATTTAACACATCCTTTCTGAATAAAAAAATGTATTTCTTTCAAAAAAAATTTTTAACTTACAAACTTTTGAACGGTAGTGTATATTGTTAGAAAAGATTTCTATTTTAAATCAATGCTCTTCTTTTTAACTTCTTATTCATCAAAGAATCCTGAAAAAAAGTATTGCAGTTTCCAAAAAAAGAATAAGCAGCACAACAGTTTCCAGCACTGATAATAAATCAGCATATTAGAATGATTTCTGAAGGATCTTGTGACACTGAGGACTGGAGTAAGGATGCTGAAAATTAAACTTTGCATCACAGGAATAAATTAGATTTGAATGTATATTAAAATAGAAAAATATTATTTTACATCGTAATAATATTTCACAATATAAAATTTTTTCCTGTATTTTTTAATCAAATAAATGCAGCCTTGATGAGCGTAAGAAAGTCATTTAAAAAAACATTAAAAATCATTCTGATCCCAAACTTTTGAATGGTATTGAATTTTTTAACTGTCATTTTAAAAGATTTTGAATGGCTTGTTATCAGCAGGATAACTGCAGATATACAAAGAACTTGAAGAACCGTCAGTTTGAACAGTGTTTTGTGCATGTGTGTGTTTGTTTTACAGGAGACTGGCCCTGATGCTGATGCCTGTGCAGTGTGTATTGAGTTGTATAAACCAGGAGATGTACTATCAGTTCTCACATGCAAGTATGTCTGTCTTTAATTCCGTTCCGTTCTGTTCTCCCTCAATCACTGTTTTCACTATAAATCAGAATTTTTTTCCAGTCTTTCTGGTCTTAATGTTGCTGTTCTGTGATTTTGTGTTTGCAGTCATTTCTTCCATAAATCTTGCATAGAGCCATGGCTACTGGAGCACAGAACCTGCCCAATGTGCAAGTGTGACATTCTTAAAGCCCTTGGAGTTGAGGTGAGTTTTCACACTAAGAGTGAAGTCCAGCGTTGCACTTCATAAAGCTAGCAAATTAATCTGAAGTATTTAAAAAAAAAAATAAATAAATAAAAAAAGTGTATTAATGGAAAATGTCAGATAAGATGTCAGGTTTTGGACACTGTCTTAGTGTTAACACAGTAAAACAATAAGAAGATAAAAGCTGAACAGTTGAAATGCAAACAAACAGTAACTATTCCTCTTCCCTCTGTTTCAGTTTAAAGTGTTAGCATGTCAATACAAATTCTTGAGAAATTGCTAAATTAAGAACATAACATAAGGAGACAAAGTCAAATTCTCTCTGTTCGTCTTGTGGTAGGCAAAGAGGAACAGATGTTCATAAGCTTTTTTTTTTTTTGGTGAAATCTTGGTACCATGTGAGACAAGTCATGTGTATAGAGCATTTGAGTTCTGAGTCATGCAGAGTGTGACAGGGAGCAGAAGTTCATTGATGTTTGTGCTGAATAATGTTGGGTGCTGCTGGGAGAGAAATGGTGTTCTTTGGTCTTTGGTCACCTACATAAATGAAATCATTTATTGTGGCAATGAGTTAAGGTAGATAGAGCACCATAAGCAGTGACACACCTCAGCTCAAAGTTTGTCACATGTTCATCCAAGGCAGTAAAATGCTTTTTCCGGAAACTACATATGCATTATGAAAAAATGACAAGACAGAATTTACACTGCCGTTCAGTTGTTTTATTTTGTTGAAAAATACTTTTTTTCAGCAGGGATGCAATAAAGTGATTAAAAGTGATAGCCTTACCCTGGAGTTGTTTCACCCTCCGCCTATGCTGTATATACTTTTTTACTTGCACTAGCTCTGCGACAAACGTCCATGACTTAACGCATTACATAATCATGTTGGAAAGGTGTTTTTTGCCTAGAGGAAGAAATCTGTTTCAAAAGATTTAAACCTCCAGGATCCACACACGAATGGACCATTTTAAACAATAAACTCATACAAAGACATATATAAATATGTATCATTCAACATACAACAACTTTTGAATGGTCCTCCTTCTCCACGCTTGTAAACACTGGGGTGGTACTTCCGCCTACATCACGTTTGACCTTTCCAACTTGATTGTGTAATGCGTTAAGTCGAGGACGCGCATCGCAGAGCTAGTGCAAGATGAGCATTTGTGGTCAAGTATAAAAATGTTTTATTTATTTATTTTTAGAAAATGACCAATCGCTTCATTAGATTATATCCTTATTCCTTGGATGGGATCGTGTAGGGCTGTTTGAAGCTGCACTGAAATTGCAATTTGGACCTTCAACCCCGTTGGTCCCCATTGAAGTCCACTTTATGGAGAAAAATCTTGGAATTTTTTTTTCCTCAAAAACCTTAGTTTCTTTTCAACTAAAGAAGGATCATGTGACACTGAAGTAATGATGCTCAAAATTCAGCTTTGCCATCACAGGAATAAATTAAATTTTATGCTATAATGGAAAACAGCTATTTTAAATTGTAGTGGGTTTTACTATATTTTTTTAAATCAAATTAATGCAGCCTTTTGAGAAAAAAAATCTTGCTGACCCCAAACTTTTTAACAGTAATGTATAGGGCTGGGTAAAAAATATCGATATCTCGATTTTAATCTATACTCATTTTTACGAAACAAAGAATCGATGAGTCTAGCCTGTTTTCAGTTAATGGATGGAACATTGAAGGGCACCTCCCATCCAATAAATCACAATAATCATTATGCTTTGGTACTTTTAATATGAAACAAAGTCTTAGATTTCAATTTCTGTCCATTATATTGCAGTATTCAAACAATAAATGCCGTTTTGGCGCTGTTTAATGTGGAGTGACAGATCGCTGTAGCACCTCAGTTCAACAGACGCGGCAGCACGTAGCGCACGTGAACTGATCGTCTCCTCCACATTAATACCAGATTCAGCACAAAATAAACATGACTAAACATCCGAAGGTAAGTTAAAAGAAAGAGTACAAATTTACAATCCGTATCCTGTCATGTAATCGTTCAATCAGTGATTTCCCCTCCGTGATTTCACGTATAAAAACATATAGTTAGTCTTTCATTTTTAATTTTATACGTGCATACAGACAATGGCGGTGTTGAAGCTCTTTTATTTGCCGTCAAACGGTTGAGCACTGCCGTGTGTGTATCCTGTCGCAAAATGCGGTGAAAACTCCTACACGGCGGTAATAATGTGATTAAGGTGTTTACGTGTCTATACTGCACTTCAGTAATGCGACTAAAATAGGAATACTCCACATGTCTTAATTCAATTTCTGTTTACTTCGAATATGACTTTAGCCGGATTAAGGTAATCAAAAATCTCTGTTTACATCGTAGATTCTTAATCAGAGTATTGTCTTAATCATGTCAAAATCAGATTATTGTTGTCCATGTAAACGTACTTACTGTCACGTAACGTCACATTTACCTCAGAAAAAACATAACGTTATTCGGTGACCATAAACTCATTAATCGAATAGAAAAATAAACTGTATTAAATATGCACCATATAATATATTCATTATAATTTTCACTGTTCTTCGATGTTTAATTTATATTTTTTATGACAACCACCATTTAAATGTTTATATATTTAAAAAAAAACAAAAACGAATTGAAGTAGAAATATTATGTAATTGTAACTTTTTTTTTACCTTCAAAAACTCCTTGGTTGCTTTTGCTGTATGTTTTGGGTCATTGTCCATTTGTACTATGAATAGAGGTCGACCGATTGATCGGCCATCGGCCGATTTTTGGCATTTTTGAATTAATCGGCATTGGCCAATCGTGCTGCAAATTAGGCCGATTTATAGGCAGGCGCAAAAAAAAAAGGGGGGGGGGGGACATATTAAAGAGCTGTAATTCCTTAACCTTTCCTCCAATTACCCTCAAATTAAAGCTCAGAGTGTGCACTTTAAGCCCATATTCATTATATAACTGTAACTTGAATATGTTTTGGTCAACAGCTAAAATAATACAAATTGGGCCTGTGTCCAAATATATATATGGACCTAACTGTATATAAAATAAATAATATCATTGTATAGTATTGACTTATTACAAAAACATTGCTACTCTTAATGTCTAGGCTATGGTGGTATTTGCCTCTCTGATGCAGCGAGACATAACTGGGATGCTTAGTCCTGCTCACCTTGGTGAAAATATCTGACAGATTGGGCAGCACACCTATGGTGTTACATTCTGTTGCCCGTACTGTCCTTTATAAGTCTCTTTGATCCTGCTCCCATTCCAGACAGAAGCACAGCCTGACAGGATGCATTCAACAGGGTTACCTGTGGGCCCATCCTTAACTTCCACAAGCAAAGATGTGAAAAAGTACAGTGTGCTGACTCTTAAATGCATGTATTGCCGCTAGTGTTATCCATAAAACACTTTTTTTTTTTTTTTTACTTTTTTTTTTAGCTGTTCTGTGTTTGCAGTGAGCAGAGATTGACTATTTCATCTGTCAGTCAGGCAGAATTTGTTGCCGTATCTAATGTGCTGTTGGTATTTTAATCCCAGCCTTAAGCCAGCTTGTTCTCTAAGGACTGAGTATTGGCTGACAGCATACTGGTAAGATTGGGTTTATATCCAAGGGATGGATTGTTCTGAACACCGGAGCATCTCCCACTGTGCTTCTTGCACCTTGGGAGCTCACCTTTGTTCTTTCTGTTCCAAAGATTCTCCTTGACACAAGCAGCTTACCTGTTGTAAAGAGTGTTCATGAAAAAGTGGTGTTAGTAAATAACTGCACCTGATGGTGTCTTAATGTCCTAACGTCCTGTCATGAATCTTGATGACAGTAACTGGAGATTGGGTGGATCCTCTCTCACTTGTTGTTATAAAGATTGCTCTCACAGAAACAGAAATGCTGCTTAGTCACCATGCCTTGCATATACGGAAATTAGGAGAATTAGCTCAGTTTGTTCTTCCTCCTTTGGCAGTGTGTATTATTCATTTCCCCCTTCAGGTCCAAATGTATAATTGGAGGAAATGTCTAGTTTTCAGTTTTGAACATTCAATCAGTGCACACACAAATTTGGCCCAATGTTTGCTGACATTTTCTTTTCTGAATTTCTCTCTCTCTTGTAGATGGATGTTGAGGAGCAGCCACAGATTTCAGTGCCTGATTTCAGATCTTTTTCTACCTCTGAGGACCTGCAGAGTGAGACAGTGTCACACACACACAGTGAGACAGCATCCTCTGGATATGCATCCATGCACGGAAACGAACACCTCGGTTCTGCTGAAGCCTCACAAAATGGTAAAATACACTATAACAAATAATGTAAATAAAGAACAACATAATTTGTCTTTGCTCGTTGTTACATGTTCCATTCACCAGTGTGCACTCCAGCGAATAGAAAATAATTAGGAGCTACCTGTTCTCCTTTAGCGCACATAAAGAAGACAACATAAACTACCTAAATTAGAGCATAAATATTTAAACAAACATACAAAAGAAATGTACAAAAATAAATACAAATCTACAAAGGATCAGAAAAATAGGGGGGGAAAACACATCAACCCCAATACCTAAATAAACAATCAACTTATCAAAACAAACATTTAAATCAAATACTTTTATGTGTGGCCTCGGTCATCACACACGTAAGACTTTCGTTCATCTTCAGAACACAATTTAAGATATTTTTGATGAGATCTGAGGGCTCTCTGACCCTCCCATAGACAGCAAGGGAACTACCCCGTTCAAGGTCCAGAAAAATACCAAGATGATCGACAAAGTAGTCCATGTGACATCAGTGGTTCAACTGTAAACTACAAAGCTTCAAGAATACTTTTTTTTGAAAAAAAAGAAAACAAAAATATTGACTTTATTCCACATTTTGGTCTCTACTGCATCACTTGTGGACGAGCGTTCACAACAGTACCATGACGCAAGCGTGTGATGGCGCCGGCGCTTACCCAGATCCGGCGTGATGACTTTGAACACATGTTTATGGTTAGGGCTAGAAGGGATACGTATGGTGTTGATTGGGCCACTCCTAATGGTCCTGCTATCTCTCTGATGGATTTGTTTTGTTTTTTAAGCCTAACAATTATCTGTTTCACCTGCATGGAGAGATTGTTTGACCGCATGATGTGGGTTCAGAGCAACAGCTTCCAAATGCAAATGCCACACTTAGAATCAACTCCAGACCTTTTACCTGTTTAATTGATGTAGAAAAAAATGAAGGAATAGCCCACAACTGTATATGAAATGGCTTTTGAGTCAATTGTCCAATTACTTTTGGCCCCTTGAAAAAGGGGGAGGTACATATTAAAGAGCTGTAATTCCTTAACCTTTCCTCCAATTTTGATGAGAATACCCTCAAAGTAAGCTCAGAGTGTGCACTTTAAGCCCATATTCATTATATAACTGTAACTTGAATATGTTTTGGTCAACAGCTAAAATAATACAAATTGGGCCTGTGTCCAAATATATATATGGACCTAACTGTATATAAAATAAATAATATCATTGTATAGTATTGACTTATTACAAAAACATTGCTACTCTTAATGTCTAGGCTATGGTGGTATTTGCCTCTCTGATGCAGCGAGACATAACTGGGATGCTTAGTCCTGCTCACCTTGGTGAAAATATCTGACAGATTGGGCAGCACACCTATGGTGTTACATTCTGTTGCCCGTACTGTCCTTTATAAGTCTCTTTGATCCTGCTCCCATTCCAGACAGAAGCACAGCCTGACAGGATGCATTCAACAGGGTTACCTGTGGGCCCATCCTTAACTTCCACAAGCAAAGATGTGAAAAAGTACAGTGTGCTGACTCTTAAATGCATGTATTGCCGCTAGTGTTATCCATAAAACACTTTTTTTTTTTTTTTTATTTTTTTTTTTAGCTGTTCTGTGTTTGCAGTGAGCAGAGATTGACTATTTCATCTGTCAGTCAGGCAGAATTTGTTGCCGTATCTAATGTGCTGTTGGTATTTTAATCCCAGCCTTAAGCCAGCTTGTTCTCTAAGGACTGAGTATTGGCTGACAGCATACTGGTAAGATTGGGTTTATATCCAAGGGATGGATTGTTCTGAACACCGGAGCATCTCCCACTGTGCTTCTTGCACCTTGGGAGCTCACCTTTGTTCTTTCTGTTCCAAAGATTCTCCTTGACACAAGCAGCTTACCTGTTGTAAAGAGTGTTCATGAAAAAGTGGTGTTAGTAAATAACTGCACCTGATGGTGTCTTAAATGTCCTAACGTCCTGTCATGAATCTTGATGACAGTAACTGGAGATTGGGTGGATCCTCTCTCACTCGTTGTTATAAAGATTGCTCTCACAGAAACAGAAATGCTGCTTAGTCACCATGCCTTGCATATACGGAAATTAGGAGAATTAGCTCAGTTTGTTCTTCCTCCTTTGGCAGTGTGTATTATTCATTTCCCCCTTCAGGTCCAAATGTATAATTGGAGGAAATGTCTAGTTTTCAGTTTTGAACATTCAATCAGTGCACACACAAATTTGGCCCAATGTTTGCTGACATTTTCTTTTCTGAATTTCTCTCTCTCTTGTAGATGGATGTTGAGGAGCAGCCACAGATTTCAGTGCCTGATTTCAGATCTTTTTCTACCTCTGAGGACCTGCAGAGTGAGACAGTGTCACACACACACAGTGAGACAGCATCCTCTGGATATGCATCCATGCACGGAAACGAACACCTCGGTTCTGCTGAAGCCTCACAAAATGGTAAAAACCATAAAAAAATGCACACAGTCACATTTCTCCCAATATTTTGGAACTCACTCCCAACTTGCTGTGATTATACTAACCTTTCACATACAAATTTACAAGAAGGCAGAGTATCTGTGCTGAATGTCACACATTAATGTTAATTAGAGTCATAGAAACATTCATTTACGTATACATGTTAGTTGTGGGTGTAATGCACGGAAACGAACACCTCGGTTCTGCTGAAGCCTCACAAAATGGTAAAAACCATTAAAAAATGCACAGTCACATTTCTCCCAATATTTTGGAACTCACTCCCAACTTGCTGTGATTATACTAACCTTTCACATACAAATTTACAAGAAGGCAGAGTATCTGTGCTGAATGTCACACATTAATGTTAACAGAGTCATAGAAACATTCATTTACGTATACATGTTAGTTGTGGGTGTGAATAACAGGACACACTGGTCGAAAACTATATATCAGTTCCACCAGGATTTTTTTTTTTTTGTGGCCCAAAATTGAATTTCCTGCAGCTTAAATATTATGGTGATATTTGCAAGATTAGTGTGTTGTTTTGCAGTGATAACCACCAATAATCATGATGTACTCAAGTAATTAGTGTTAGGGACCGTGTAAGTATGTGTAAGTAAGTAAGTTACTGAAATTGTGGTCCTGGTCCCTCATGCACAAGGCAAACGTGACACCAGCATAGAAATATACAGGTATACTTTGCTGAAAATGCAGAAATACTGCATGCTAAACAGCTTGTTCACTATCACTGAATCAGTACAGTAAGCATATTTAGTGACACTGTCCATTTTAAATTTAACATTTCATGTTATTAGTTTTTTTTATTTTTTGTTTTCTAAAAGTATGATCAGTGATTGCATTCACTCGAAATATTAAAAAGTCCATATCCAGTCAAATAATGTACTTATTTAAATTTAATCTACTGTTGAAATATACATAATATTATTTACTAAAATACATTTTATTATAAATTCACTTTACTGTGAAATTCACTACAATACAGAGGTAAGACATAAGACATTTGTTTTGACTCGGATTTTGATTAGCAATACTGTTTTTCCCCCTCTCAGGATGAAGTCTTTTTGCATAAATAAGACAAAAATGCAAGCTACCACAAATAATGCAGAGTTGGCAGTTAAATTGTTTTTATGCTGTATAATTTATTATTTTGAAGTAAATCTATGTTTAATCACTTATATGCCTAATCAGTGTCTATACTAGTTTAATGCGTCCCTGGCATTTTTGGTTGGATGAAGGTCACAGTGTACCTTCAGTGTGAGGTTTGTAAGGATGTGAAAATATACTTCTGGAACCAAAGTCTGTTGATCTGAATGGAGTGATTTTGGTCTTTGTTTTGTCTGATTGGTTTGCAGGTGTGCAAGAGGAGCAGTTGGATGTGTCGCATCACTATGACAATCTTGCCTTCGAGGGTGACGTTCACAGCCAGAGTGAAGTTAGGACCTGAGCAGCACAATCAAACACTGATAAAATGCACTCACAGATGAATGAGGGGTTTTGATTTGAGGACTTATATAAAAGCACTGCTGAGCCCTTTTCTGATTAGTTTCTGACTAAGTGCCTATAAATTCTCTCTCTCTCTCTCTCTCTCTCTCTCTCTCTCTCTCTCTCTCTGTGACTGTTTGTCTCTGTGGGAGATCACAATGATTTCTGGGTCAATCAGAGGTCATGTTTTAATTATCTGTGGCTAATTCGCGGTATTATGATTTCTGATTCAGGGTTCGATTCCCACTGTGGTTGTGTTCATGTTTTGAGACTCCCAGCCTTCCATAAGCATCATGATGAGCAGTTGTGGAGACACACAGAGAGAGACAGAGTGCTCATCCGCTTGCTGTAAATCAGTGGACTTAATGCATACTATACTTTTCCCCTGTTTTTGTGACTTAATAAATTATATTGTTCCATTTGTTAAATTTCTGGCTCATTGTTTTTATATTTTCTCTCTCTCTCTCTCTCTCTCTCTCTCTCTCTCTCTCTCTCTGTGACTTGTTTGTCTCTGTGGGAGATCACAATGATTTCTGGGTCAATCAGAGTTCATGTTTTAATTATCTGTGGCTAATTCGCGGTATTATGATTTCTGATTCAGGGTTCGATTCCCACTGTGGTTGTGTTCATGTTTTGAGACTCCCAGCCTTCCATAAGCATCATGATGAGCAGTTGTGGAGACACACAGAGAGAGACAGAGTGCTCATCCGCTTGCTGTAAATCAGTGGACTTAATGCATACTATACTTTTCCCCTGTTTTTGTGACTTAATAAATTATATTGTTCCAGTTTTGATGGAAATTTAAAATGTCAGAAATATTGTGCCTTAACCACTTATGTATGTGTGCAAATGTATATTACTCATTGCATAGGCCTGTACATAATAGGGGTGGTTCTAAAAAAATTAGTTATCTTGATTGTAATATTTAAATAAGGGATGAAAATACTTCTTTACTCTTTCAAATGAATAGTATGGACATTAACACTGTAAATAAAATATTTTATGAAATTGCCTGTGTGTGTGATTATACTTATTCAGTTATGAAATTAGTTAATTTCCCTTAACTATTATCAAATGTGTATTCTTCCGCAGATGATAAAATCAAACAACCCAAAAACAAATAAATAAATCTACAGCGCAATTCAGTATAGTCTGCTACTTGAAACAAATTATTCACTTATTATTGATTCTTTTTAGTGATTCAAAAGCACTTAAAGGTGACATATCAGAAAAATCTACTTTTCCAGGTTTTACGTGCTATAATCAGGTCCCCGGTGCATCTACCAACCAAGGAAGCGTGAAAAAGATTAAGTCAAGTCAAGTCACCTTTATTTATATAGCGCTTTTAACAATACAGATTGTGACAAAGCAACTGAACAGCATTAATTAGGAAAATAGTGTCAATAATGCAAAATGACAATAGTAAACACTAATTTTCAGTTAAAGACAGTTCATCATTGAATTCAGTGATGTCAACACCATCTCAGTTTAAATAATATCTTTGCAATTATGTCAACGATAATGCTGGAAATGAAGTGTCCCCAACTAAGCAAGCCAGAGGCGACAGCGGCAAGGAACCAAAACTCCATCGGTGACAGAATGGAGAAAAAACCTTGGGAGAAACCAGGCTCAGTCGGGGGGCCAGTTCTCCTCTGACCAGACGAACCAGCAGAACGGAAAAATCAATATAAAACGTAATAAAACAGACGATGAACAATATTAACAGCAATTATTATATGACGCAATCAAACTTATAGCAAAATGTGGTAGTTATGTATGTTGTTTCAGGGTTGGCATCATCTGAGGTCCTCTGAGGGGTGGCATCATCTCTTCTCAGGTGTTCTGGATCCAGACTGAAGCTTGTGTAAATCCTAGTTACCACGGGATGTTAATCCCAGCAGAAACAGAGAAAC